GTCTGCCTGGGTCTTAACTATCTTTAGTAAATTTGTATCATCTGCAAATTTTGCCACCTCACTGTTTACCCCTTTTCCCAGATCATTTATGAGTATGTTGAATAGGACTGGTCCCAGAACAGACCCCTGGAAGACACCACTATTTACCTCTCTCCATTCTGAGAACTGTAATTACCAGGATCACCTCTGGAGCCCTTTTTAAAAATTGGCATCACATTAGCTATCCTCCAGTCATCTGGTACAGAAGCTGATTTAAATGATAGGTTACAGACTACAGTTAGTAGTTCTGCAATTTCACATTTGAGTTCCATCAGAACTCTTGCGTGAATACCATCTGATCCTGGTGACTTATTGCTGTTTAATTTATCAATTTCTTCCAAAACTTCCTCTAATGATACCTCAATCTGGGACAGTTCCTCAGATCTGTCACCTAAAAAGAATGGCTCAGTTTGGGAATCTCCTTCACATCCTCAGCCGTGAAAACGGATGCAAAGAATTCATTTAGTTTCACCTCAATAGGCTTATCATCCTAGAGTGCTCCTTTAGCACCTCGATCGTCCAGTGGCCCCACTGGTTGTTTAGCAGACTTCCTGCTTCTGATGTACTTTAAAAAAAAATTGCTATTACTTTTTGAGTCTTTGGCTAGCTGTTCCTCAAATTCTTTTGTGGCCTTCCTAATTGTATTTTTACACTTCATTTGCCAGTGTTTATGCGCCTTTCCATTTTCCTCACTAGGATTTAACTTCCACTTTTTAAAGGATGTCTTTTTGCTTGCCATTGTTTGTTTTACTTTGTTGTTTAGCCATGGTGGCTCTTTTTTGGTTCTCCTACTATGTTTTTTAATTTGGGGTATACATTTAAGTTGAGGTGTCTATTAGGGTGTCTTTAAAAAGTTTCCACTCAGCTTGCAGAGATTTCACTTTTGGCACCATACCTTTTAATTTCTGTTTAATTAACCTCCTCATTTTTGTGTAGTTCCCCTTTCTGAAATTAAATTCTACAGTGTTGGGCTACTGTGGTGTTTTTCCTGCCACAGGGATATTAAATTTAATTATATTATGGTCACTATTACCAAGCGGTCCAGCTATATTCACCTCTTGGATCAGATCCTGTGCTCCACTTAGAACTAAATCAAGAATTGCCTCTTTTCTTGTGGGTTCCAGGACCAGCTGCTCCAAGAAGCAGTCATTTAAGGTGTCAAGAAACTTTATCTCTGCATCCCGTCCTGAGGTGACATGTACCCAGTCATTATGCGGATAATTGAAATCCCCCATTATTATTATTATTGAGTTTTTTATTTTAATAGCCTCTCTAATCCCCCTGAGCATTTCACAGTCACTTTCACCATCCTGGTCAGGTGGTCAGTAATATATCCTTACCGCCTTATAATAATTATATATTATTATATAATAATAATCTTATTATTAGAGTATGGAATTTCTATCTATAGAGATTCTATGGTACAGTTTGATTCATTTACAATTTTTACTTCATTTGCTTCTATGCTTTCTTTCACATATAATGCCACTCCCCCACCAACATGACTGTTCTGTCCTTCCAATACGTTTTGTACCCTGGTATTACTGTATCCCATTGAGTAGCCTCATTCCACCAAGTTTCTGTGATGCCTATTATATCAATATCCTCATTTAATACAAGGTACTCTACTTCACCCATTTTATTATTTAGACTTCTAGCATTCATATATAAGCACTATAAAAATTGTCTCCTTTTGGCTGTCTGCCATTACATGATGTAATTAAATGGGATATTTTTTATTTGACTGTTTCTGATCAGACCCTGCCTGTATTTTATCATTTTCCATCCTCTTTCCCTCACTAGGACATCTGAGGGTTAGAAGGGACCTCAGGAGGTCATCTAGTCCAACTCACTGCTCAAAGCAGGACCATCTCCAATTTTTGCCCCAGATCCCTAAATGACCCTTTTAAGGATTGAACTCACAACCCTGGGTTTAAGCAGGCCAATGCTCAAACCACTGAGCTATCCCTCCCCCCATTCTCCATTAATAGATCCTCCATTAAGAGATTCTCCATTAATAGATCCTCCCCTAAGGAATGTCCAACCATGTACTTCTCAGCACCTGTCGGTTTTCCCCCAGCCCTTAGTTTAATAACTGCTCTATGGCTTCTTTAATGTTAAGTGCCAGCAATCTGGTTCCATTTTGGTTTAGCTGGAGCCCTCCTTCCTGTATAGGCTCCCCCTAGCCCAAAAGTTTCCCCAGTTCCTAATAAATCTAACCCCCTCCTCCCTACACCATCATCTCATCCACGCATTGAGACTCTGCAGTTCTGCCTGTCTAACTGGCCCTGCATGTGGAACTGGGAGCATCTCAGAGAATGCTACCATGGAGGTCCTGGACTTCAATCTCTTACCTAGCAGCCTAAATTTGGCCTCCAAGACCTCTCACCTATCCTTCCCTATGTCATTGGTACCTATATGTACCATGACCACCGGCTTCTCCCCAGCACTACACATAAGTCTATCTAGATATCTCAAGAGATCCGCAACCTTTGCGCCAGGCAGGCAAGTCACCGTGCGGTTCTCCTGGTCATTGCAAACCTGGCTATCTATGTTTCTAATGATCAAATCTCCCATAGAATCATAGAATATCAGGGTTGGAAGGGACCTCAGGAGGTCATCTAGTCCAACCCCCTGCTCAAAGCAGGGCCCATTACTAATACCTGCTTCTTTCTAATAGCTGGAGTTCCCTCCCCTGGAGAGGTATCCTCAGTGTGAGAGGATACCACAACATCATCTGGAAGGAGGGTCCCAACTATGGGATTGTTTCTCTGTGCTCCAGTTAGATGCTCTCCTTCCCTGGGACTTTCATCCTCCTCAACAGCACAGAGGCTGTCAGACTGGGGGTGGGACAGTTCTACTGTGTCCCAGAAAGTCTCATCTATGTACCTCTCTGTCTCCCTCAGCTCCTCCAGTTCAGCCACTCTGGTCTCCAAAGCCCGTACAAGATCTCTAAGGGCTAGGAGCTCCTTGCACCAAATGCACACATACGCCACCTGCCCATAGGACAGGTAATCATACATGCTGCATTGGGTGCAATAAACTGGGTAGCCCCCACTCTATTGCTGGACTTCTGCCTGCATTTCCCTGCAGTTGTTATTGTTTTGTTTATATCAAGGGGGTATTTTTGGCTTTTAAGTTTAAAGAATATTGAGTTCTAGCCCCCCTCACACTGCCCCTGTTAACACCCTCGCAAAACTCCCCTGTTAGCTGCTCCTGTTCCCTAGCTCCTCTGGCTGCTTAGGAGAGGGCTTAAGCTCTGGTCTCCCTGAGTAGCCCTGAGTAGCCTCATTCCCTAGTTAAGTTTTGATGGGTGCTAAAAGGCCTAGGGATTACAGCCTCGTTAAGAAGCTCTCAGCCTTGCCTAGCAGGCTGCTAGGCTCAGCACACACACGGTCAGTACTCGTTCCCCCAAACAAACAAACAAAGCACACGTTATATTTCAGTCAAGCAGCGAGCACACCACATTTAGTGTTCATTTCGGTTTTGGGCCATATCTAGATTATCTTTAATCTGTTCCCCACCACACTGCATAGCAGTCCAACTTCATCCTTTCCGAGTCTTTTTTTATTTATATAATTTAAAAAACCTATTTATTTTAATTCTCTTGGCAAAAGTTAGCTCTACTTTTTAGCAATTCTTACTTTGTTCCTTCATTTTCTAACCTGCAAGATATTGCTTTTTCAATCCCTGTTTCCATTCCCTAGAGACTCTCTACTTTTATTAACCTTTTTGATGTAGTTATTCACCCAGTTGGATCTGGAACCTTTCCCTAAAATTCCCCCTCCCCCGGCCCCCCTTCCTTGCAACATAAATTTCAGATAGTTTTGTATACTTGATTTAAAGAAATTCTAAGCCTCCTCCACATTTAGGTCCTTGAGCTCTTCAGTCCAATTGACTTCAACTAATTCCCTTAATTTCCCTTTTGAAATAAAAAACCATAGATGATGACCTGTTTTGATTATCCTTACATTTAATTTAAACTAAATCAGCTCATGAACCTCGATCCAAGGTTATTTCCTAAAACCAGCTCTTCTCACTATTTTCTCACTATTTTCTCACTATTTACCAAAACCAAGTCTAAAATTTAGGGCTGTCAAATGATTAAAAAAATTAATCGCGCTGTCAAACAATAACAGTGTGACGTTGCACCCCATAATGCTTTATGGAAATATGCTTATCATAGAATCATAGAATCATAGAATATAAGGGTTGGAAGGGACCCCAGAAGGTCATCTAGTCCAACCCCCTGCTCAAAGCAGGACCAATTCCCAGTTAAATCATCCCAGCCAGGGCTTTGTCAAGCCTGACCTTAAAAACCTCTAAGGAAGGAGATTCTACCACCTCCCTAGGTAACGCATTCCAGTGTTTCACTACCCTCTTAGTGAAAAAGTTTTTCCTAATATCCAATCTAAACCTCCCCCACTGTAACTTGAGACCATTACTCCTCGTTCTGTCATCTCCTACCATTGAGAACAGTCTAGAGCCATCCTCTTTGGAACCCCCTTTCAGGTAGTTGAAAACAGCTATCAAATCCCCCCTCATTCTTCTCTTCTGCAGGCTAAACAATCCCAGCTCCCTCAGCCTCTCCTCATAACTCATATGTTCCAGACCCCTAATCATTATGAATGTAATGAATGTAAATATGACATAACTGGGATGTGTTTTATGCTACATATGCCATGTAACATATCTCTGCAAAGGTTATGATCTACTGAATATATTCATCCTATTTGTATGCATGTATCATTTTTGTATTCAAAGTTATGAATATTGGCTGTGTACTTGTTTGATTTTAATGAGCCTTAGTAAGGCATTTGGGCAGCTTCTTTAGAAAGGAATTTGCAAGTTAAGTGCCCAGTCAAGAAACACTTAATGGACAATGGATCTTGAAAGGCTCCAATCCACATAAGAAGTCTACCTGAGGACGTTCAAGATAGTATGTGAACAATGGCTGCTACCTGTAAGTTCTAAGTCATTCATGGGCATGTGACTTGCCCATGTGACTCCAAAACTCCATCTTGTAGTTGGGATTCTACACAGGGGGAGGAAGGGGTGTCCACCCACAAGAGAAAGTCTATTTAAACCCCTGGGAGATCCTTCCATTTTGTCTTCAGCTGGATCAAGAGATAGCCTCTCCACCCCCAAAGGATACCTGAAAGAAACTGGAACAAAGGACAGTAACCATAAGTGTGTAAGTGATTGCTCGACCCAGACTAGAAGGAGTCTAGTCTGTAAAAGAAGCTTACTGGAACATCTCTGAGGGTGAGATTTCATCTGTAATAACTTTCTTACTGTATTGGGCATAGACTTGCATGTTTTATTTTATTTTGCTGGGTAATTCACTTTGTTCTATTACCAGCAGGAGAGTGAGTTTGGGGGGGGGGGGGTGAGAAAACCTGGATTTGTGCTGGAAATGGCCCAACTTGATGATCACTTTAGATAAGCTATTACCAGCAGGAGAGTGAGTTTGTGTGTGTATGGGGGTGGAGGGGGGAGAAAACCTGGATTTGTGCTGGAAATGGCCCACCTTGATTATCATGCACATTGTAGGGAGAGTGGTCACTTTGGATAAGCTATTACCAGCAGCAGAGTGAGTTTGTGTGTGTGGTTTTTGGAGGGGGGTGAGGGAGTGAGAGAACCTGGATTTGTGCAGGAAATGGCCCACCTTGATTATCATACACATTGTGAAGAGAATGGTCACTTTGGATAGGCTGTTACCAGCAGGAGAATGAGTTTGGGGGAGGGGGTGAGAAAACCTGGATTTGTGCTGGAAATGGCCCAACTTTATGATCACTTTAGATAAGCTATTACCAGCAGGACAGTGGGGTGGGAGGAGGTATTGTTTCATGGTCTCTCTGTGTATATAACGTCTTCTGCAGTTTCCACGGTATGCATCCGATGAAGTGAGCTGTAGCTCACGAAAGCTCATGCTCAAATAAATTGGTCAGTCTCTAAGGTGCCACAAGTACTCGTTTTCTTTTTGCGAAGACAGACTAACACGGCTGTTACTCTGAAATTTGTTCTGTGGGTTATTACTTGGAACCACTTAAATCCTACTTTTTGTATTTAATAAAATCACTTTTTACTTATTAATTAATGGGGGGCACCAGCTGTGCATATTTCTCTATCAGTGTTATAGATGGCGAACAATTTATGAGTTTACCCTGTACAAGCTCTATTCAGGGTAAAACGGATTTATTTGGGGTTTGGATCCCATTGGGACTTGGGCATCTGAGTGTTGGAGACAAGAACACTTCTTAAACTGTTTTCAGTTAAGCCTGCAGTTTGTGGGATGTTATTCAGACCTGGGTCTGTGTTAGGGTGCTGAGGTCCCAAGCTGGCAGGGAAAGCAGGGCCAGAACTAGCCTTATCACATCAGTTGGCAGTCCCAAGGAGTTTTCTGTGATCCAACCCATCACAAACAGAATACCATTTATTTAAATATTTTGGATGTTTTCTACACTTTCAAATATATTTATTTCAATTGCAACAAAGAATACAACATGTACAGTGCTCACTTTATATTTATTTTTGATTACATATATTTGCACTGTAAAAAAGAAACAAAAGAAATAGTATTTTTCAATTCACCTAAGACAAGTAATGTAGTGTACTGCCATCTCTTTATCATGAAAGTTGAACTTACAAATGTAGAATTATGTACAAAAAATAACTGCATTCAAAACTAAAACAATGTAAAAGTTTAGAGCCTACAAGTCCACTCAGTCCTACTTCTTGTTCAGCTAATCATAGAATATCAGGGTCGGAAGGGACCTCAGGAGGTCATCTAGTCCAACACCCTGCTCAAAGCAGGACCAATCCCCAATTTTTGCCCCAGATCCCTAAATGGCCCCCTCAAGGATTGAACTCACAACCCTGGGTTTAACAGGCCAATGCTCAAACCACTGAGCTATCCCTCCCCTATAGTCTATAATCACTCAGACAAGTTTGTTTACACTTACAGGAAATCATGCCTCCCACTCCTTTACAATGTCACCTGAAAGTGAGAACAGGCATTCGGATGGCACTGTTGTAGCCAGGATTGCAAGATATTTACATGCCAGATGCGCTAAAGATTCATATGTCCCTTCATGCTTCTGACCCAGGGAGTCTACAGTAAGACCCCTAACACCATCCCACTGGATCCTCTTTTGCTGTCCTTCCCCAAAGTAATTTTGGCCCAAAATTTTGTTTTGTCCATATTACCATACTGTCATTTCTTATTTCTTTACCATTTACCAGAGGGAGATGCCTTTTCATTTACATCTCCTCAAATATTGGGCAGACAGAAATAAAAGGGGACATTACAAGGTAGGAAAAAATAATTTTGGTGGGAGAAAGGAGAAGGGAAAACATGTTCCCCTTGTCATCATCATCCCTCCTCATAGAGACTTTTTTTAGTGTCCTGGGTCATATAAAATGCCCAATATACACTTTTTTACAAAGATGTGCTGATGTTGCTACTTCCCAGCTTCTGACTCAACAGTGACACATGCTTATTTCTCAAAGTGGAGAATTTTTTCCAATAACTTTGTGTTCTGAGTTAATCATTGAACACTGATACAGTGTTAAGAACCTTCCCTTTGAGCAAAGGAACAGCTTTGATAAAGTCTACATTTTTCTCTTCATTCCAAACACTGTTCATCCAACTAAATGCTCATTCAGTTGGGCTGTTCGTTTCATGTAACACAGACCAAATTCTACTTGGTATAGCAATAGATCTTCAAGAAACATTAAGAAACAAAACATTTTGATTAAATGAAAAAGTGGGACAGACCCATCCTTAAAAAAGGGAAGAAGGAGGATCCTGGGAACTACAGGCCGGTCAGCCTCACCTCAGTCCCTGGAAAAATCATGGAGCAGGTCCTCAAGGAATCAATTTTGAAGCACTTAGAGGAGAGGAAAGTGATCAGGAACAGTCAGCATGGATTCACCAAGGGAAGGTCATGCCTGACTAATCTACTTGCCTTCTATGATGAGATAACTGGCTCTGTGGATGAGGGGAAAGCAGTGGATGTGTTATTCCTTGACTTTAGCAAAGCTTTTGACACGGTCTCCGATAGTATTCTTGCCAGCAAGTTAAAGAAGTATGGGCTGGATGAATGGACTATAAGGTGGAGAGAAAGCTGGCTAGATCCTCGGGCTCAATGGGTAGTGATCAATGGCTCCATGTCTAGTTGGCAGCCGATATCAAGCGGAGCACTCCAAAGGTTGGTCCTGGGGCCGGTTTTGTTCAATATCTTCATTAATGATCTGGAGGATGGCATGGACTACATCCTCAGCAAGTTTGCTGATGACCCTAAACTGGGAGGAGTGGTAGATACGCTGGAGGGTAGGGATAGGATACAGAGGGCCCTAGACAAATTAGAGGATTGGGCTAAAAGAAATCTGATGAGGTTCAACAAGGACAAGTGCAGAGTCCTGCACTTAGGACGGAAGAATCCCATGCACCACTACAGACTACGGACCGAATAGCTAGGCAGCAATTCTGCAGAAAAGGACCTAGGGGTTACAGTGAATGAGAAGCTGGATATGAGTGAACAGTGTGCCCTTGTTGCCAAGAAGACCAATGACATTTTGGGCTGTATAAGTAGGGGCATTGCCAACAGATCGAGGGACGTGATCGTTCCCCTCTATTCGACATTGGTAAGGTCTCAGCTGGAGTACTGTGCCCAGTTTCGGGCCCCACACTACAAGAAGGATGTGGAAAAATTGGAAAATGTCCAGCAGAGGGAAACAAAAATGATTAGGGGTCTGGAACACATGATTTGGGGGGGGGGGGTTTGATAGCCGCTTTCAACTACCTGAAAGGGGGTTCCAAAGAGATGGATCTAGACTGTTCCCAGTGGTAGCAGATGACAGAACAAGAAGTAATGGTCTCAAGTTGCAGTGGGGGAGGTTTAGGTTGGATATTAGGAAAAACTTTTTCACTAGGAGGGTGGTGAAGCACTGGAATGCGTTACCTAGGGAGGTGGTGGAATCTCCTTCTTTTGAGGTTTTTAAGGTCAGGCTTGACAAAGCCCTGGCTAGGATAATTTAGTTGTGGATTGGTCCTGCTTTGAGCAGGGGGTTGGACTAGATGACCTCCTGAGGTCCCTTCCAACCCTGATATTCTATGATTCTATGACATTTCAGGAGTCCTGAAAGAAGTTCCTAGGATAATAGGGGATATCATGTGAAAAAGCAGGAAGTAGGGTCACTTTGTGTAAAAGAATTCCATTTATTTTTTCTACTGAAATGTTATGTCATGTATAGCAGTACCCTGTGTATGTTACAGACTAATTTTATTGCACAGATTCTTACATTTTAAGAAAAGAAAGACTATTATGATAATCAAGTCTGACTGCCTGCATAATACAGGTCACACAATTTCACCCAGTAATTCCTGTATCAAGTCCATAACTTCTGGCTGAGCTAGAGCATATCTTTTAAAAAATGACCAATCTTGATTTAAAGATTTCCAGTAATGGAGAATCTGACACATCAGTAGGTAAGTTGTTCCAATGGTTATGGTGTTCTCAATTCAAAAAAGAAATTGAAAATTGGAAAGGATTCAGAAAAGAACTATAATAAAGATTTCAGACTTGGAAAACCTGCCTTAAAGTGAGAGACAGAGCTTCTCAATTTATTTAGTTTATCCAAGTGAAGTCTCAGAAGTGACTTGCTCATGGTCTACATGAGGAAGAGATTTCTTATTTCAGACTGCTCTTAATCTAGCAGAAAAAGGAAAAACAAGTTCCAGTGGTTTGAAGCTGAAGCTAGACAATTGTGGACTAGAAATAAGGCATTAATTTTTAAACCACGAGGGCAATTAACCATTGGAATAATTTATCAAGGGATATGGTGGATTCTCCATCACATTAGGTCTTTAAATGTACAGCTTTAATAATATATATATTGCATATAAATCCTTTAAAGTGCATTTATAATTACTTTAGGTTTAAGATTCAGGTTAAAAATTGTAAATACCTGGAACTACGCCATTTGTTGCTATTGCGCTCATTGAAATTGCAGTCAGCATAGTCTGTGGAAAGACCATTATTAAGAAAGTTTAATTTAAGATAATAAAGTTCTTTAAAAACTATAAATGATGGACAAGCCCAATGGTCTAGTGGGAATAAGCTGGAAATTGGAAAATATCTTTATGTCTTTGTGGTGACAGGGACTCAAGTTATATGCCTTTTTTTCCTAACTAAGCTAATTGATTCCAAAGTCAGTTGAGCATTGAGTCTTAGACTGAACAACTGTTTAATACATCTAGAAGTATGGGTCAGCTCAAAGCAGAGCCTTTGAATATATAACTGGAAAGAAGGGGAAACCTTGAGGACTTTCAATATTCACCAGAAAACAACCCAAAGAAAATATTGTTCTCATTAAATAGTAATTAGTAACAAATGACCATTGTGTATCTTTACCATCATTACCATTGTGTATCTTACTTCTAGCTCCATATTCCAAAACAATTACATTTATGAACTTGAGCTACAAGTAAATCACAGTACTGCTAATAATTAAGTTTCAGAGTTTGATGTGAAATTTTGAAAAGTAATTCCTTCTTACCCAAATTTAAATAAACACAAAGCAGGAGGATAAATCAAGAGAAGAACAAATACTAAGGACTGATTTAATGAGAACCATGAAATACAATTTTAATTACTGAGTAAATGGCGCTAACATTAGTATTTTACAAACTTAAGACTGAATCTTGTTTTGATCAATTCAATGAGGATAAGTAGTGCAGCTGGGCAAGAAATGGTTTCCCTGTTCTATGAAAGTTTTTTAAATTTCAAAATACTTTTTCCATTTTGCATTGGGACAAAACTAAGACCTTTCCAAAAATCCCCAAAAAACAGTTTTTCAAAAAATCAAGAGATACACCATACTAGCCCAGCCTAAGGTTAGGACATGTTCTAGTCCCTTTGTCTCCCATGTCCCATGTGAGTGCCATAATCACCCATATATAAAGCCAGTCTCTCTCTCTCTCTCTCTCTCTCTCTCTGGTCCAATGAATATTTAATTAGTTATACAAAGTGGAACAAAAAGAAAAGGAGTACTTGTGGCACCTTAGAGACTAACCAATTTATTTGAGCATGAGCTTTCGTGAGCTACAGCTCACTTCATCAGATGTATACCGTGGAAACTGCAGCAGACCAATTTATTTGAGCATGAGCTTTCGTGAGCTACAGCTCACTTCATCAGATGTATACCGTGGAAACTGCAGCAGACTGCAGTTTCCACGGTATACATCTGATGAAGTGAGCTGTAGCTCACGAAAGCTCATGCTCAAATAAATTGGTTAGTCTCTAAGGTGCCACAAGTACTCCTTTTCTTTTTGCGAATACAGACTAACACGGCTGTTCCTCTGGAAAGTGGAACAGTTCTAATAGGAGAGATTCAGACACACCAACTTCAGAAAAACCCATAGCTTTGTGGTTATGAGACTCATATGGGATGTGCAAGTTGTAAGTTCAAGTCCCTGCTCTGAATCAGGCAGAATAAGGACTCGAACCTGGATCATCTTCTTCCCAGGAGAGTGGCCTCACCATTGAGTTATTGGCTATTCTGGAGTCCATCTCTCTGTATCTGTCTTTTTGATCAGAAAATCCATCCTGGGAATCTAAGAAACATTTCCCAATGGAAGTTTTGCTTAACCTGATACCTTTTCATAAACATTTGTTTCAGTGAATTGCAGTTTCTGACAATAAAACCATTTTGTCAGAAAATTTCTGACCAGCTCTAATAAGCAAAGAGACAGCAGTGTGTCCTATCAATCAAGGCAGAAACAGTGCGGGAGGGCTCACTTTGCTGCACCTTTTCAGTGTAGGGTGCCCATTGCAACTGAATTTCAACATACACACTACTTAAAGTCTATGCATAAATGAACACGCTAAAAGACATAAAAGGCAAGCTAGTATTTTAGCCCACCTTAACTCCCACCTGTACTGCTCTTTGAACTCTATAAAAGGGTTCTGCCTGCTGCTTGTGCAAGCAGGGAGACAGGGGAGTTGGTCTGGCAGTAGCATAGAATAGGATTTAACTTTAAATGTATAAGACAATTAAATATTAACTTACACAAGCACAGCACATGAACACAATGATGAAAGATTCAAGAACTCCAGATGTTCCAACAATCCACGTCAAACGTAGGAAAAGAATGACTCCCAAAATATTTTGCAAGCAGGGAAGGTACACACCAATAAAAGTGCCCATACGTGGAGCCTGAAACAAACAAAATATAAATTCCACCTAGAATATTTCTTCCCAAACAAAAGACCAGGTATCTTAACACCTCATCCAGCAAATTCACAATGACTTGTAACAAAAAGTCTTTTTTTTAGTAAGGAGTGAGCAAAAACTGAGTGAAGACCTCAGGATTTCTAGTTTTATAGATAACATTACAGCATTTAAAAAAAGATTCTAGTTTTATAGATAAAACACAGCATTTAAAAAAAAATAGAATACCTTTTATGCACTAAGATAGTCTCTGTTAAGAATTAGGAGGAGACCTTAAGGTGAGACAGATCATCCTACATCTGCCTGCCATGAGGTTTCTCGCAGCTTCCTCTGAAGCATCTGATGTTGGCCTCTGTTTGAGACAGGATGCTGGACCACAGATCTGATTCAATATGGCACATTTGTTAATATTTCCTTTATTTCATTTTTGATGCTCAGGGATCAAAATTCAAAATCAAGCCAGATGTTAAAAATATAAATGACAGTTCTCTATTCAGGCCCCACTCTGAATCCCAACCTCTGTCTACTTTTCTGTAGAAGTGCTCAGCTGTGAAGCAGTTAACCCTGACATTTACACTGGCCAGGTTTTTCAAAACCACAAGCCTAAGGTTAGTCTCTTAAGTACATATTTAGGCTTCTAAATAAGACATCTGATTTTCAAAAGTACTGAGCACCTAACACATCCCACTGAGGCTTAAATCTTCCATTTTTAAAAAAAATTAAACCATTGTCAATATGTAACTCCAGTCATTCAGACTTGTTGACTGTACCTTTGTTCTGTAGGCACAATGAGAGACCACTCTAATGGTTTATACTTGGAAAGTTTTCTTCACTTCTATAAGGTCTAAAACAACTGGGTATTTGTTATTTTTTGTTTTTGTGGGTTTTTTTAATTAAATGAAAGCTTAAATTCCATAGAAAATGATGACATCACTGTAAAGTGCTGGTACTTCATATCACTGTATATCAGCTCAGTCTGACTTCTCAATTAGGCAGCCTATTTTTGTGTTTGGTCTGGTAGATTAGATTGTCAAACATGGAATAAAGAAATAATTTCACTTGATATGAACAAGTCAGTGAGCCTTTATTTCTACTTTAAACACAGATATTTTATCTTTTTAAATAACATCTATCAAATAAAATCCAAGGAAATATAATGAGTCTCTGTCAAAATCTTAGAATTCTAATTACTTTCACTTTGACCCCAAAACACACCATAGAACGGAGTGTAGCAAGAGAGCCAAGACAACTGAGAACAAGAGAGAAGAGAGATCACATATAACAATAAAGAAGGAAGGGGTAAAAAAATATAATTAGACCCACCATGTTTACAACCCAAAAAGTTAAAAAGTCATAAATCATATGATTTTTAAAGTAATCCCATGCACTTTTTTAAAAATTCAAGAAATATAGTGTGTAGTTGGTTTATCAACATATGTATGAAGACCTTGTTTTATTCCTCTTTTATGTAACCTACAGCCTTGTATAGACATGATTTGCATTGCTGCCACTCGCCACAGCTTAGAATACATAAATGGACCCCTCTCTTTCACCATGTCTGCACTAGCGAGCTTACAGCGGCACAGCAGCACCAATGCAGCTGTGCCACTATAAGATCGCTCGTGTAGCCAAGCTATGCCAATGGGAGAGAATTCTCCCACTGACATAATTAAACCATGAGCGGTGCTAGCTATGTTGGTGGGGGGGGGGGGTTTCACATCCCTGAGCGACATAAGTTATACCAACAAAAGTGTTAGTGTAGACATAGCCTTTGTGTAATGATGCTTCTAATCAGTTAACAAATGTTCCTCAAGGCAATATAAAGAGCCTAAAGTCTTGTCTACATTAAGGAATTTTTTTCAGAGTAGCAGCCATGTTAGTCTGTATTCGCAAAAAGAAACGGAGTACTAGTGGCACCTTAGAGACTAACCAATTTATTTGAGCATAAGCTTTCGTGAAGCTTATGCTCAAATAAATTGGTTAGTCTCTAAGGTGCCACTAGTACTCCTTTTCTTATTAAGGAATTTGTTTACCAGTATAACTACATCAATTTAATTACACTGATACAAACCCAGTGTTGATGGGCTGCATTATGAAATGGTGTGGCTAATACCAGGGTAACCAAATTAAAGTACACTGGTATAAACCTGACCTAGAACTGGTGTAGCCTGTCTATATTAGTTGTTCACACTAGTCTAATTAAATCAATGTTGTTATATTAATGCATAAATTCTGAATGTAGACAAAGCCTAACTCTCCTTAATTTTCTCTCCCACCCCTCCACTTCCTCCAACTCTCCATTGACCTTTCATGTGCCACTTCCACTGTACTCCAAGCTCATGAAAGCTCAAGAAAATTATAAAAACAAACTAAGATTATGTAAACAATAGTTATGTACAGTGCAGACTTTTAAAAGAATCTGTTTTCCCCAGGTTATCTAAATACATCGCAATGAGAAAAACATTTAAACTCATACAACAATCATTACCGTCATCAGAGAAAAATGACAAGCATCACACAGTTCTGTAGCAGATGCAGAGATAGAATTCAATGCTGAAGTATGACATTCACTTCCCTTAACCATAAGACCATCCTTTCTCTACCTGCAGTCCCCTGCCTTATTCACCATACACACCTTTCAACTTCAGCAAATGAAGTAGGAGTACTACAGACAACACCCTCATTCACCTACACAACCCAAATTCATTCCCAGTGCTCCATCAATTCTGTACACTGAAAGAGGCAGGGTCTGTGGAGAAAGCAGTATATGGTCATGTAATTAAAGACTGTATCATAATATATACACAGAAGGGTGCCTAAGTAAGATTGCATAGGTATAAGTCAGAAAATAGAAGTACAATCCAAAGGAAGCTAATAGAAATTAGTATAAAGTATGGAAGATGAAATGTAAGAAAGAAATTATAAGGCTAAAATGGATAATTTTTGTGTGCATACATTATACAATCATAGAACCATAAGACTTGAGAGGGCATTTAGTCCAATCCCCTGCACTCAGGCAGGACTAAATATTATCTAGACTATCGCTGACAGGTGTTTGTCTAACCTGCTCTTAAAAATCTCCAGTGACAGAGATTCCTCAATCTCCTTAGGCAACCTATTCCAGTGCTTAACTACTCTGACAGTTAGGAAGTTTTTCTCAATGTAAAACCTAAATTGCCCTTGTTCCATTTTAAGCTCTTGTCTTTTTGTCCTATCCTCAGAGGTTAAAGAGAACATTTTTTCTCCCTCCTCCTTATAACAACCTTTTATGTACTTGAAAATTATTATCATGTCCCCTCTCAGTCTTCTCTTCTCCAGAATAAACAAACTCATTTTTTTCAATCTTCCCTCATAGGTCATGTTTTCTAGACATTTAATCATTTTTGCTGCTCTTCTCTGGACACTTTCCAATTTGTCCACATCTTTCCTGAAAGGTGGTGCCCAGAAGTGGACACAATACTCCAGCTGAGGACTAATCAGCACAGAGTAGAGTTGAAGAATTACTTCTCATGTCTTGTTTACAACACTCCTGCTAATACATCCCAGAATGATGTTTGCTTTTTTTGCAACAGTGTTACACTGTTGACTCATATTTAGCTTGTGATCCGCTATGACCCCCAGATCCCTTTCCACAGTCCCAGGCAGTCATTTCCCATTTTGTACATGTGCAACTGACTGTTCCTTCCTAAGTGGGGTACTTTGCATTTATTGAAGACCATTTTATCCAGTTTGTCCAGATCATTTTGAATTTTAATTCTATCCTCCAAAGCAATTGCAACCCCTTCCAGCTCGGTATTGTTTGCAAATTTTAAGTGTACTATCTATGCCATTATCTAATTCATTGATGAAAATACTGAATGGAACTGGACCCAGAACTGATCTCTGTGGAACCCCATTTGATGTTGTTGGATCATATTAAAGAAGTTCTGTATTAAAATCACAAATGAGTTTGATTCCCCAGAGTTTAAATTCCAGGGTATTACTAATTAAGAGGTCTCTTGGTTTTTGGTACTGTTTCTCTCCCTCTATGTGTGAAACTTGCAAGCTGCTAATTGTGTTAGTACATTCTAAGACAGAGTCTATTCTCAAAGCAATTCACAGAGAGAGAGACTCAAAGCAATACTCTAACAACAGAAACAGCACCCAGAGACTCCCCACCCTTTTGTTGTATTAACAATTGTGATTAAAATAGAGATAGAGGATGTATGTGGATGGATGCTTGGTGTGGATAATAACTGAATGATCAGGGAGGTGCCAGCCTAAGAATCCAGTGTCCATCGGCTGAAGAAGTGGAAATAACCAGAGGACCCCCCGGAGGGCAGACTGGAATCCACCCAACAGCCTCAAGAATGGGAGAACCAAAGAACAAGATAACATCTTGGAGCCGTCAGGAATGTGCTATCTGCTGATTGATTCAGCAACAGCATGATGAAGCAATTCCCATAGACTGGCATAGGAAGAAATTCCTATAAAAATAGACTCTAAAAAGTGAGAACTTTGGGGTCTGATTCTGCAAACCAACTTCCAGGAGCATCAGATGAGCATCTGACAAGGCCCTGCTCCCTCCTCATGTCCAGGCCACCTTTGGCATGAGCAACTCTAAGGCTGGTAACTATGATAACAACCTTGCAGAACCTGTGTGTGTGTGTTTGTATGAATGAATGTGTGAATAAATATGAGATTGAATGGAATGTTATAACTAGAACTAACTGCTTACTATGATTCTTTCTGTATTCACAATAAATGTGGTATTTTGCCTTTTTCCCTTTAATAAGATCCTGCTGGTTTTTATTTTATTGGTACAACATTTTGGTGGAGAATTGCGAAAGGGGGAATATTGGTAAAAAACCTCAGTTATTGTAAATATTGGTGTGCACACCGCCAGCTCTAGTGAGCTAGGCATTTCTATTAGGTTAACCAGACCTGCTGGCCTCCGAGAAGGTAGCAGGAAAAACAGATTTAACCAGACCTGCTGGCCTCCGAGA